GACCAGACCAGAGGGGTCCAGACCAGACCAGACCAGACTAGACCAGACCAGACCAGAGGGGCCCGGACCGGACCAGACCAGACTAGACCAGACCAGAGGGGTCCAGACCAGACTAGACCAGACCAGAGGGGCCACACCTCCCGCTGCCGCCTCCTCACCTGTGATTGGCCCGTCGTCCTCGTCGAAGTCGATGCGCACGCCGCGGCCTTTCCCCCGGCTGACGCCGCAGCCCCCCCCCCTGCACAGCGAGATGGGCACCACGCCGTACACGTAGGCCAGCATGATGGGGACGCCGATGCCTGGAGGAGGGAGGAGGGAGGAGGAGGGAGGCAGTCAGCACTAGGGTTGTCAAAAGTATCGATTCTAAAATGTTGCATCTGGATACGATACTCATTTTCAAAGGTATCGATTCCACCACGCGAGCCCGCGCGCGACACTTACCTGCCGTTGCTGCGCCCCTTCTCTCTGATTTATTTATGTATTTATTTACGTTGTTTATGATCATTAACAAAACGTAAGCCTTGCTAGCTGCGGCTAATGGCTAATAATAACATGCTACCTTTAATCAAGTACATATCCAACTCCGCCCACATCTAAGTCGGCCATTTTGATTACGTCAGATCCCAGGCAAGAAAATCGTAATTGCTTCATAGCAATATAGACATTCATTTAAAAATAGTTAAATAGATCTTTCAAACACATAATTCAACTCTATACTTAATATTATGTTAAAATAGTGTACGTTAAATAGGTTTGTACAATAAGTCCAAACAAGTTTAACCAAAAAATATTTATTTCTCACAATTATGAAGGGTGGAGGGTTAGGATTAGGGCCATTAATGCGGGCCACCAGTCATGATAACATCAGTAACAGGTCAGTTTGAAATGAAAGACACAATTCAGTAAAAATTTTGGGTCTTTGTTTTTATCCTTGTGGTATCGAAAATGGTATAGAGTATCGAGTATTTTCCTGAGTATCAGTATCGAGTTGAAAATTTTAGTATCGTGACAACCCTAGTCAGCACCCGGCCGGACGGCCATGAGGCCACGAGGCCGCCGGACGGCGTCTCTTACCCACACTGACGGCGGCGATGACGGGCGCCGTGATGATGGACAGGGCCACGCCCCCCGTGATGGCCAGGTTCCTCCGGTGGCGGGACGCCTTCTTCAGCTCGTAGTGGGCGTGGATCTGAGGGAGGGAAGGACCAGCATCAGCACCCCGAAGCCACCAAAACATTTATTTAATCCACACAAGACCTTTTATTATCACCTAATTATCTTACAATTATCACCAGATAATTATTAGCTTATTATCACCCTATTATCACCACAGCTCCATATTCAGTGGGAGTATGTGTATTAACTGTTATGTGATCTAATCTAATCTAAAATGAATAAAAATGTCATCTGATTGAGGCTGCTATCTACTGATTTTCTTTGTTTTTTAATGCGTTTCTGCAGTCAATTCAACATCTTTCTTTTTTAATTTTAAGCAACGCATTCACATTTGACAATATGAAAAAATATTTAAGCTTTTCTTTGTTTTTACTGTTCAGTAAGAAAGTAATTACAAGGAAAGTGGTCGGCTAAAGACCCCCTAGAGCTGATGATTGGATTAAAGTTGTTAAGGATATTTACATCAAGGAGAAGCTAACATTCATTCTTAAACTTGACATAAGTTTGAAAATGGGAAAAATGGACAAACTATCTAGCAAATCATTCTTCTATCTTAACTTATTCTTCTACTATAATTTCTTTTATTTTTTTCACACAAGTTAAGTCAATTCATGATATATTCCTTTTAATTTAAAGAAACCCCTTAACATTTAAAAATATGAGAAAATATAGGATATTTTCTTTGAATTTGAGCCAGTTAGGCTCCAAGTTCGGCTGCAGTTCCCCTCTCTTCCACCCGGGGGCGCTGCAGCCCCGTGAATCCCTCCAGTGAAAACAGAGGCATGACACAGCAGAGATTCTTATCTAATTCATGAGAAGAAGAGAGCCATTTCCAAGGAAAAGACGAAGAAAAACAGGAGATGCTGCTTTTTAAAGATGAATCACTGCTGGAGAACTCAGCCATTAAAAGAATGTAAACCAAATCATTGCACAAAAAGAGGCTCATTTATAATGGAAACATATTTCTGATCCGGCTCACTTCCTCTTTGAATCTTAATCTAACATCACTGATGGTTTAAATTAGGCGTCTTGCACCTATTCGTCAGTGTGAGACGACTCAGAGGAGGAACTGACAGAAAAGGCAACTGAAACCCAGATAAAATTGTTGAGTTCCAGATAACAGTCGAAGGACCGACAACAGAGGCCAAACAACAGCTGCTTCACACAAAGAGCTGCACAAACACATTATGAAACATTAGAAAAATCCCATTTCATCACGTTTTTAGACTCATAAAAAACCAACTGCTGAATTTAAAGTGACTTATTCTGCTGATATTACTTCTATCACCTTTAAAGGTGAACTACCCTAAAAAAATATCCGGTGCATTATTCATTTTCCCCCCAAAATATATAAAAATAAACAGTGAGAATGAGAGGTAAAAATAATTGAATAAAATTATAATATATAAATACATAAAAATATTAGGGGTGTTGTTTCAGGTATTAGGTCATTTAACTTATTTATATTATTTCCCGATGGAAAACGTTTGAAAACTTTTCTTTTTAGGTACATCATTCTTTTTTTACAGTACAGTGAAACCGTTTGTCTTTATTCCACAAATTAGAAGGTCGATCTCTTTGTGTATTCTCTCAAATCCCACCAGAGACACAAAACTAGAGGTTAACAAGTGGTTGGCCTTTAAAACTATAAAACACAGAGTAAATATACGATTACAGACGATGATTCTGCTACATTTTATCTTTACAAAGTCACTGTTTGCACTAGAGGGAACATTTTGCCAGTGAGAAGCGCATCCCACTGAATATTAGCCGGTAATGCTTACAAAACGCCTTATATAATTTCTATTTTGGTGCTTGCTGATTAAAAATCTCCTCAGCAGCCAGAAAATCCCTCCAAACAGATGAAAACTGACAGAATCTATCATGAAATAAGTAAAAAGCAGAAGGATTTTAGGATTCTTTTGCCTCGTTCTCACATTTTAAAAGGGATATTGTGTCGTTTTTTCTTTTAAATTACATCACACAGAGAAAACTGGATGATGTGGAAGTCGTGTTGTCATTTGAAAACGGAGGCGCTAGAGAGCACGATTTGTTAGAATGCAAAATACAATTTCACCGTTAGATGGAGGAATTCCTACACCGTGTAGCTATAAGGCCACGACTCGAAAGCCCGACGGCTCCAGATGGGGCTTTTCTCACCTTGCGACCGACGTAAACGGGGATGCCGATGACCATGGCGGGAACGGCGATGCCTGCGATGAGGGTGATGCCGACCGGCGCTCCGATCAGAGTTCCCAGCTGCCACAGGATCTTCTTCTTCCTGCTCCACGGTTTCTTCCCCCAGAAGGTGCAGCCGGATGGACTGAAGTCAGAAAACAGTGACAATGAGGGTCAAAAGGGGCAAAAAATCCAAGATGGAGGAAGGAGCTACCAGGCCTACAAGAGCAGCAGGTCCCTGTTGGTCTTCATAAACTCCTACAGACCCCCCTCCCCACAGAGCACCTCCTATCCTAACTCCTCCCCAGACCTCTGGACCCTCTACTCCTCTTTCTGTACTTCTCTCTATCTCTTAACATAAATATACAGCCCCAAAAACAGCTTTAAAGATCACAAAACACTTTTAAAGCCCGCAAAATCAGCTTTTAAAAACCCTCATCACAACTTTAAAAGCCTAAAAAACTGCTTTAAAGCCCCCCAAAACACCTTTTAATGCCACAAAACAGTTTTTAAGCCCTCCAAATCAGCTTTAAAAGGCCCAAAAAAGGCTTTAAAAGACACAAAACAGTTTTAAACCCCCCAAATCAGTATTAAAATCCCCGAAATCAGCATTAAAAGCTGCAAAAGCAGTGTTAAAAGCCCCCCAAAAAATGCTTTAAAAGCTGTCACCACTGACTAACTGGGGATTTTCCTCTAGAGAGCCGATTGTCTGATTGATGAGAACTGGAACATTGTGTCTACTTTGTAAGTCGCTTTGGATGAAAGCGTCTAAATGCAGAAACATAAACATGGTGGCGGGGGGGGGGCGAACCTGAGGTAGTGCAGGTCGGAGATCTCCTTCATGCAGAGCCAGCAGAACTCGCAGCCGCAGACGGCGCAGGTCATGTGATTACAGCTGCCATCGTTCATTTTGATGATGTAGGCGCCACAGCGAGGACAGGGCTTGATGTCATCGGCTGCCAGGGAGAAACAGCCAGGTTGGTAAAGAAATGTTCACCCATTTAAGGAAATTAACTCCAAAACTCATTCAAAGAAGACTAAATGCTGAAGAAAATAAAAGGTCCACACAAAATCCACATCTAAAGTGAAAATAAATGTGTTAAATTAAACAGCATCCTAAAGTCTCAGACTCTAAGCAAACATCAAATCCTTATAAACACTAAAGTCAGAAGCTATGACCTGCCCCAAGAAGCTATTTACAATTCTGAAATTGAAAAACTAGATCCTGGAAAAGCACTGAAGAAAAGTAGAGCAAAAACTAACAAGCAAAAGCGAAAGAAGTTAAACAAAATGCTAAAGCACTGATACAAAACTTAAGCTACTTCTGAATGCTAGAGAGATCAAAACCAAAAGCTAGCTAAAGCTAAACCCCAAAGAACTCAAACTAAACAACTAAACTTAAACTCTAAAATTAAGCTAAATGCTAAAGAGCTTAAGCTAAATACTATTAAATAATACTAACTATTGCTAAAATGATAACTAAAGCCTAAACAACTAAACCTAAACTCCAAAGTCCTTAAGCTAAACGCTAAATTAAACAATATCTAATTCACGGAAACAAAACTAAAGTTAGACCTAAAACTAAAAGCGAACAAATGATAAATGCAAAAGAGCTCAATACAAATATGAATAAACTAAAGCTACCCACTAAGATCCTTAAGCTTAATACTAAAGAGCTTAAACTAGATGGTAGCTAAAAAGAAAAGAAAGACAACAGAGCTAAAGCTACACGCTAAAGACCGTTCTTTGGTCAAAGGCCAAAGAAATTAGCTTCCACAGCTGGATAATGACCAGGACATTTAAAAATGACTGTTTTACTGTAAAGCAGAAAGAAAAGGTTTCTAATGGAAGAATGAATAAATAAACAGGGGAACCAAAGGTTTTTTTAGCTCCTCCAAAAAACAAATGTGGTGCTTTGCTAACTTAACTGAGCTTTTACACACCAGGCATTTACTCATATTCACAAATAAGAAGTATTTTTTGGTTCTAAATACATAAATAAACAAATATGAAACCATGTTTACTCGATGTCTTCAAAGATCTAATCTTTGGTGCACTTGGAAACAACAATTCCAATGAATTTTGTCCCACTTTGACCCAAAGGGTTAAAACCTTTGGCTTCGACATTTGGGAAAAACAAAGCGTCAGTGGAAAACACAGCCCCTTTTATGGCCCTGCTCGGCTGTTTCCCTCCTCTGCTGGAGGGGAGATAACCCCTCATTAGAGTAATGGCTTGGACAAACGCAGCACTTTGGCCTCTAATGCATTCGGAGTAAATTCAGTGTGTTTGAACTCTGCCCACAGAGAGCCGTCTCTGCTCTTTAAAGGGCATTTGGGTATTTTATCTCAGTCACATGTGTGTGTGTGGGAGTTGCTGCTGAGCAGCATATCCTGCACACAAGGTTTCCCCTTCGCTTTCTGCCCGTTTGTACTCCTCCTCTCTCTGGGTTTCTCCTTTTCTCGGCTTCTTCGGCTCTTTCTGAGCCTTAAGAGTTGCCGTCACTGCCTTTCAGTGTTTGGCAGAGGCTGGATGTGAAGAAATAGGGGAATCTGGGGGGGATTTACTTGATGGATTTTTAATCAAAATGGGCTTAAAGACAGACACCCAGATCAGGATGTTTGCCCACACATGCACACATGGACCATTGCAGATATTTTCATGTGTCAAATTACCACAATAACTATGCTAAAAGCCTAAATTTACTCCTCTGTGAGCTGTAAAGGATGAATAAGTCCCAAATATGAAGAAATCTAATTGATTTCTAATTCAAGTTTGCTATTATCTGATTATGGAGTAGAAAGAAAAAATATTTGTAATCATATTTTGTATATTGCCTTATAAACTTTGTTTGATTTTTTAAATAAAAGGCCATTTTTACAACAAAGTGAAGCTTTTCATTCTTTTGGATTAGCCCTAAACTTAAGAAATTTTTGTCATTTCCACTTAAAAAACCCACTGGCTTTTACAGATGACATTCTCACTTTCCCACTTTAATATCTGTCCTTGTTTCTTGAGGGTACTCAAGGTGTGAAATACAGAAATGGAAGTTTGTCAAATCATTTTTGAAAGTGGAGTCACAGTAAAGCCATTTTATATGTGAATAAACCTTAAAATAATCATTCTAATCATAAGACAAAATATTTTTTTTTTTGTTTAAATCAATGATGGGGTGATAATTAGAAATATATTTAGATAGCCTAGCTTAAAAAAATACACTTTGAGTGCAAAAGCTGCAGAGTCTTAAATATAAACTTTACATTTTTAAGGGATATTTAGATAATTCAAACCACTATCACATCGACATTTATTCACGAGTCAAATCGAGATTTTAGGAATCGAGGTTTTAAAAATGTCCTAAAAGGGAAAATAGTCTTATTTCTGTGAGATTTTTTAGCCCGTTTTGAAGAACAATTGCAGTATTCTCACCGGGGCCCTGCTCCTGGGTGTAGCTGGGCGAGTGGCTGCTGTGCGGCGCCCTCTGCTGGCGGGCAGAGTCGCAGGTCTGGTTGGGGTGCCACGCCTGCTTGCAGTGGTAGCAGAACTCGGCGCCGCAGCCGTCCCGCCGGCACAGCAGCCGGGGGCAGCTGGCACAGCCCGAGGCGATGACGGCGAACCTGCAGGCAGAGCGGGGCGGTCAGACGGTCGGTTTAATAGGCTTAATAGTCAGATTATTGCTAGTTTGGAAATATATTTTTACTAACGCAAAAGTATCGATTTATGGTTTTAACTCATGGGACTCATAGTCTTTGTTATTCGTTGGTAAACTTTTACATACTGCAAAAAACAAGTAGAAATAAAACAATATATTTAATTTATATTTACTCTCATGACGATCTAAAAAGGTTTAAGTTTCTTCTTTTTAGTCCAACACATTAGCACAAAGTTTCCTTCATTTCAAGATGCTGGAACAGAGCTCATTTCCAGGAAATGAAGCCTCATTCTGGAGGAAAACCAGCAGAACTCTGAGTTCTCTGGACTCTAGTTTGGATCAGAGGCTCAGATGTTGACGTTTAATCCAGAAAAAGCTCATTAAATGGAGCCATTTGTGTCCTTTTAGGTAGTTAAATGGAGGAAAACCAGCAGAGCTCTGAGTTCTCTGGACTTTAGTTTGGATGAGAGGCTCAGGTTTTCACACTTTTCTGTCTACGAGAGTCAGGAAAAGGATGTTTGGACTGACAAAACAGACTGAGACAGAGGGGAGACGGGTCTGGGCTCGTGTTTGGCAGCCTCTGGTGGTGAAGCGTCAGAATGCAGCCACACAGTCTGACGCTTCACGCTCTGAGCAGAGAAACCAGAGCAGGCAACCCGTGAATCACTGTGTGGTTTTTCGTGTGCTTTGAAGCTTTGAGGCGACGGAAACTCTGCCTCTGTGGAGACGAGTGACTCATTCTGGGGCCTTCTCTCAGGTTATTCTGCAGTTAAGGAAACAAACAGCACCGATTGACCCCAATGACTTCACGTTTTGTTCCAAGGCACCCCAATCTTTTAAAATGGAGCAACACCTCCTCAACAGGCTCTCTTATGTTTCTGTCTTTGGCCATTTTTAGCTATTTTTTTCCAGAGGAATGTGTTTTTTCCTCCGTTAGGCCTCTTAACTGAGCTCTAAATCATTTCCCCCTAAATCAAGGGATGAGCCAGCGTTGGATATTTGGGCTCTTTGGTACCAGCAGCCTGATGTCCAATAAAATGGACCTTTAGAAGCACGGGAACAATGAATTTTTAACTCCTTCTCCTAAAAATGAAAGCGAGTGACTAACTGCTTCTCTTTTCAGCAAGGTTACTGTAAGTGTTTAAGCAATTAAGCAGAATCCATTCGGACAACGATTTTGTGGAGAAACAAACCGTTGTGGGTCGTTTCCAGAGAAACATCAAATAAATTTCAACACCATGTGGGTAAAAAAAAGCCCCACAGTGGAGGATGAGTCATCTATATACTGTTCTTGCTGTTTTGGGAAGTTACAAACTCCAGTTTGAGAAGCTAAACAATCCTCAGCGATCTTTCTGACACTCTTCCAGCTTTATTATCCGGGAGGGGGGGGGGGCTCTGAAGGAAACCGCGGATTATGGATTAGCAAGACAGGTAGACTAGTGCTTTATGTCTCTGCCATTGTAGTTTTTCAAAAAGGCGGATCGCCATGGAAACCTCCGTGGAATTACCCGTCCTGTGTATATACAGATAGGAAATTCTTCCTTATGAGGAGAAGTCAGATCATTGTAGAGGTAATTTTAAACCAAATGAGGACACATTTAGAAATGAAGACAATGATTTTAGCTAATAAAATACTTTAAATACTACACAATGTCCCTTTAAGTATGTCGTAACTAAACTTAAAACATGAGGCAGAGGTGTTAAACACCACTTGAACCAATCTTATCTCACTTTCTGTGAAGCTGAGACAACAGCAACACTCAACATTTACATGTTTTCTGCAGAGCCTTTTCCAACCACAGCTCAAACATCTGTGAGCTCACAAGAAACTGCAAGGCCTGAAGTCTGACTTTATTTTAGTCAGGACTTCTCACTGTGACTAAGACGGGTTCAGATGTGGTGCGACGGTGGAAAGAACAGCACAGCAGCTCTTTTCTGATCATATCAACCTAACAGCTCAGGCCAACAAACCCTGATGGTAAACTTGTTGCCAAACACAAAAGAATGACGAGTATTTCCAGCCCTGTTTCCTTTAGCCCCTCATTCAACAACTCAGACATAACAAACATTCAAAATGGAGGTTTTCTGTAAACAGAAGCATAACAAGACGCTCCAATTATCCAGCAAATTCTCCTTTGAGATTATGTGACAGACTGGAAAAGGCAAAGAACATTTATCTCATTTATCTGAAGGAAAAATACTCATTTAATACTCATATAATTCACCGTAGAGTTTAAATATCTACAATAAAAACAACTAATCATTATACTTAAACAGAAATTAAAATATTCTGTGGAGGACACATAATCCCTGTATTGAATTGTCATATAAAGCAACCTGACAGATGCAATACGTCCATTATGCAATATGAGAAGATTTGGTGGGGAAGTTCCAGGTTTTCACAGACCTGAACACAAAGTGGAATTTATTGATATCTATCATTAAAACATCTGCTCTTTGATGTGTTGCTGTCAAGACAAAAACCAGCAGTAGATTTCCCAAACTTATTTAAACTTTCAGTTTCAAACGCAGCAAACCTGAAGACACTTAATCCCACCAACCTACTGGGTAAACCTCAAGTTTAAAAGCTGAAAAACGTTTAAACCAGTTTTAACATGTTGCTCTTCCTGACTGTTAAACCAGAACTCACATTAAGACCCAGCTAATATTAGCAAAAACTAACATTAGCAAAAGCTAACATTAACACAACATACAAAAGCTAACATTGTTAATGTTAGCAACAGCTAACATCACCACAACTAAAATTAGCTACAACTGAAACATGTGAAGACAATTGAGTTTTACACGTTTTTGCGTATTTATGGATGCACATAATTAATATTGCATCCAAATGATTAATCTTTAAAGCATTTAATTTATCTATTGTACATATTTTAATTAAGAGCACTTAAAAGCACCTTTGCTTCACACAGTCAGGCTCGATGACTAATAGATTTAATTCGTTTTTATGTAGATAGGAACAAGACGAGACACGACATGACATTCCTGTCAGTTAGCCATCACTCTGGAATAAACCACACAGGGCATCTGCCAGCATGTTCCAGTTTTCACAGGTCACGTTCTGCTTGAATAATTGTACAACCCGTTTATTCTCAGAATCTGAAGCCAATAAAACCCCCGCAGATAACCGCTTTGCTTTGTCATCTCCAACATCCCAGGTTAAAAGAGGACTGCTTAACCAGCTTTATCCTTTGTTTGTGTCCAGTCCACCTTCTTTACACCTTTATATCCGGAGCAAAAAGGGAGTTACGTGCTATATAAGTCGGTAAAATCCATTCTAGAAAGGAGGACAAAGGACGTTGAATTCAAATCAACCTTTTAGAACCTTAAGCAGAGTAGCCGAAAGGTTTAATAGTCAGACTATTGTTAGGTAAGAATTCTATTTTTTCAAATGAAAGAAAGTACTGATTTATTGTTTTAACTCATGACGCTCATTGTCTTTGTTATTTGGTGGTAAAAATTCACATATTGCAAAAAAACAAGGAGAAATAAAAGAATATGTTTAATATTTACCCATAAATGTACTATTCACTTTCATGATGATCTACAAAGGTTTTAGTTTCTCGACACAAAGTTTCCTTCATTTCTGGATGCTGGAACAGAGCTCATTTCCAGGAAATGATACCTCATTCTGGAGGAAAACCAGCAGAACTCTGAGTTCTCTGGACTCTAGTTTGGATCCGAGGCTCAGATGTTGATGCGTGATCACAGACAGGTTTCTGTCAGAGTTTTACCAGCAGAGCAGAAAGGAAGGCATCCAGCTGCTTTTCAGACCCACAGAGGCAGAAAACAGTCAGGACTCTTTTTGTGGACAGATTTCACTGGAGACAGATTCCAGACAAAAGTAGTCTTTTTTACATAAACACCAAAAATGATCATTTATACTCAGATAACAGTAAAAAGTACCTTAAAATGATTCCTTCAGGTGCAATTTCTTCAGGGATTTCTCCAAATTATTGGGATTTTCTTGTGGATTGATATAAGATTGGGATAAATTATGGACATCAAAGCAAAGGATGCAGTGCTGATGTGTTTGAGACCGGAGAGGCAGAAAAAAGGTTAAATAAGAAAAATAAAAGCGGTGCCTCAGATCAAGAGCTGAGACGTGAAAGCAGAAGACGACATAACATAGACAGAGCTCACGTGCACGCCGGGGCCAGCCAGCAGCAGCTATTGATCGGCTTGCTGAAGCCCCTGCTCCCGTTGCCCCGGCAACGCCGCATCGATAGTCGCCCTGGCAACTGGGAGCCAGAGCAGACGGCGGCGCTTCTGCCTTTGTTCTGGCTGGGGGGGGGGGGGGGGGGGACACCGACCGGCCGGGTCCCACAGCAGGTCACGGGCTCAGCCCTAAAAAAGCCCCCAACAGCCTTTGGACCCCCCCCCCCAAAAAATAGCCCCAAAAGGGTCACTCACAGCAGGCTTTCTGCTTCCTGCTTACACCCAGAGTGACGACAGGTTTCCAGAAAGAGGGAGGGGTTGTTTTTCCACCTTCATCTCAGGACGGTTCAGAGAACAACCACAAAGCCATTAAGGCTGAATTCCTCCTCCCACTGAGCTTCTGAAGGAGGAAATCTGGAGAAATCCCTTAAGAAATTGCACCTGTATGAGTGATTTTAATCTTTTTACTGTTACCTGAGTATAACTGATCATTTATGGTATTTATGAGGAAAATATTCTACTTTTCTCTGAAATCCAATGACACCGGTCCACAAAAGCCTCTCTGACTTTTGCTGTTTGGGGCCTAAAATGAGCTGAATGCTTAATCCTCTCCACGTTTTGCTGACTCAATCTCGCGTGAATCGGCATTAAATGGAATGAGGAAGTACAACAGAGTATTAGGGCCACTTTTAAATAAAGATTTTTTAGATGACTAGATTAAGGTGATTTTTAGATATGGTGAGAATAAAGCCCCTCTGATTGCAGTCTGCCACTTCCAGCCGTTTCCTCCAAGTCAACCTGGTTATTTCGGCGGAAAAGAGGCATATTTAATAACGATTTTCATCATATTAATTTTTTTTAACTTTTTTTTGTTTTTTGTTTTTCTTTGGCCCTAATACTCTGCCGTTAAAAAGTCAATTTTCTTTGTGAAATAAAAATAAAAACAATGCAGAAGCCCTCCAAAGCCCCACCACCTCCACTAAAGCTCTCAGGACTTCAACGCGAATCCAAACCAGCATATTCTGAGAAGCTGGTTAAGGATTCACAGAAGAGCTGCCGGGTCACACCTGGATTCCAGCTGCTGGGGGGGGCAGAGATAATGAGATAATGGCGCCCACCAGCTTTGAGTCCACTCGTAGGGCGTCCGGTGAGCTGCCGGAACACGCTCGGTTCAAAACATCCACTGTGATTTTGAATGTTGCTTTTGGCCTACATCCCTTTATTGGCTGTATTTGGGGTTGGCGCTGCAATAGCCACTAGCGAGAAAAAACGTTATTGCTTTTGCAACTCTGATTGCTGGAAAGAGAATATTCTTAGAATGGAATACCCAAATACCATCGAAGGCATCAATGGGGCTTTCTGATATGATGATGTTCCTAAAAAATTGCCAAAAATTGCAGCCATGTTGGTTCACTTTGAATTCAGGAGGGAAATAAAAGCTCTCAGGTGAGTTTAGATGAAAAGCTAAGTGAGCCGGTTGCACTTTAAACCCCTTTTTTCCTAAAAAGAAATGATGTGGAATAGAAAACTGACCAACTTAACCCCTGTATATCATATTTAAAATAAAATGAAAAATTCAGCTACCACCACAAAATGTCAAAGATCTGTGATTTCCAAAAGCTCCACTGGCCATTTTTTAATAAATTTACTGTAGTTTTAACAGGCTCATCCAGCTTTGTAACTCTGGGTTCTTCTGGGTTAATATCACTGCATCAAAAGCCTCCTCTAAAACTACCAGAAGCCCTTTTGCTTGGGCTAAATGTTTGACAGGGACCATTTCATTTGGAAAACTCTGATAGACGGAGTTCCAGGAGGTTTCAGATCTGAGCAGAAAACATCCTAAAAGTATCCAGAATCTCACAACTCATGCACAGGCCTGTGTGAGCACCTATTTTTGTTGTAGGTTCTTTTGAAGATTTGGTCTTTTTAAAACCATGAAAATCCCTTTTTAATCAAAGACGGGTCTCTCAAAGGTGGTTTAACTTTGAGATGCTGGCATAAAGCAGAGTATCTCCCTGATATTTGAGGGGGAAAAAAAGAAAGGCATCTCTGATCCAGATCTGAAGTCTCCCTAACAGTCAAACCTGAGTGTAAGGAGCCTAAATAGTTCAAACCAAAGCAAACTGGGATCTTTTCTCCCAGATGCAGCGGTTTGAAACCGTCCAGCCCTCAAACCGGGTCGGTTGACATCAGTCTGAGCAGCTCGAGGCCGCCGGGTTAGTCCCCTGCTTTCTGTTTCTCACAGTTGCTTTCTTGTGGCTGCGCAGGGTGAATTTCCTCTGAAGCAAACCAGATAAGAGCTTCAAAGCCGACTCGTGTTTGGGAACCTGGTCTGAGATAACAGCCGCTTCCTGTTATTACTTCATTCAAACTTTATCGGACAAAGCCATAACCTTGGTTTTATGAGCCCGATTCCAGCTCAGAGAGCTTTGATGCGTTTTATGGATTCATAATGGATTCTGCCTTTTGCTCCTCAATCAGGTTCAATTCAACCTTATTTAAAAAAAAAGCCATTTCCTGGCGCTTTTGGGTCACAATCCGATTAAAACTAGTTTGAATCCAATTCATTTAGATGCCAACAGAATCGACTCCAGTTCATTAACTCCCAAATTATAGCTCAGCCCTGTCCTGAGGTGCAGGAGGCGACTGTGGGGAGAAACAACTCCCCTTTAACGGGAAGGACCCTCTTTCAGAACCAGAAGCGAGAGAGACCAGGAAAGGGGGGAGATACGTCCCAGCAGCTCCCTGGAATCTGACATTTTTACAGAACAACTCAACAAGTGTGTAACAAGGGGGGGCTTCTTACCCGCAGTCCGGCGCCGGACACCATCTGCAGTCGGGGTCGGAGGCCAGGCACCTCCTCAGGAGGAACTCCTCGTACTTGTCCAGCAGGGCGGCGTCGTCCAGGATGGCGGCCACCTGCCGGGGCGCCAGCCGCTCGGCGCACTCGGGGCAGCTGAGCTGGACGCGGCTCTCGGTGATCTCGATGCGCAGGTACTGGCGCAGGCAGCAGAGGCAGGAGCGGTGGCTGCAGCCCAGCAGCTCGGGCAGCTGCTCGGGCGGTTGGCGCACCAGGCACAGGGGGCACTCCAGCAGCCCGGGCTCCACCACCGCCCCCCCCAGGGACGGCTGGCTGGAGGACAGGGGCCCGGGCGGGGGGGCGGAGGCCACTGCCGCCGCCAAGTCCTGGGGGGTAGCGGTGGGCACCGGGCTCAAGGCAGAAGGGATGTGGTGATGCGTGACAGGGGGGGCCGCTCCTCCTTTGGGGGCCCTGGTACCCTGAGAGCCCCGTTTGCTGTGGAAGAGGCTGTGGAAGGAGATGCGGCTCTGGCGTTTGCCCGCCGCTCGGCACTTAGGGTTGGGGACGCCACTGACCGATGAGTGAGGCGACTCCGAGTCCTTCTCTGATCCCATCTCCCCGGAAAGACGCCCACAAAGGCTGCTTATTGTCCACCAGCAGAGCAACAAGGGAGGGATTGTCCCCCCCGGAAACCGGAGTGCAACGCGTCTGGGACGCTTGAGAAATCTTCCCTTCCCTCTCCACTTACGAGAAACCAAACATCACCAGGAAAAGGCAGCGAGAAGGAAAGAGAAACAGATAGAGAGGTGACGTCAAAGAGGAAAACCCCCCCTTCGGCTCCGACTTTCTCTCAAACTTATCAGTCAAAGTGTCCACGGAGGAGAGGAGAAACACCAGGCTGCCATCTCCCCCCCACGCCCCCCACTTCAGACGCGTTAAAGTCCGTATTCGCGGGGCTCCGGGTCGGGCTGGTCGGTCTGCGGGGCTCCGGGTCGGTCGGCGGGGCTCCGGTTGAGGCTGGACGGCTCCGCTGTGGACTCCCGCCGGCTGTAAGCTGCTTCTCGTCCTCGCCTTTTGACACCGGCTGATCTTAACGGTCGTCTGTCAGGAAGCAGAGAACCGGAAGTGAACACAAAGAGCTCGGCAGGACACACCCTCCTCCCCCTCCTTCCCTCCCTCCCTCCCTCCCTCTCTCCCTCTCTCCCTCTCTCCCTCCTCCGGCTCCGGGTCTGAATCTCTCCTCCCGTCCGTGACAATTACACGCAGACTCTCACGTGAACTCGACTGCTCGTGTTACGGGGCCTCACAACGGGTTGTGGGTCAAGCGGGCCAAACGCGGCGTAACGGGAACCCCTATAGCCACCCGCGACACGCGTGACGTCATCCGGGAGCGCGACCAATCACGTCCCGCCGTGAGGCCTGCCTGTCTCTGCCTGCCTCTCCGTCACTACGACATCTTCCTCAGCTTCACGCCGCGCTGCTGGCGGCGTTACCATGGCGACGCCCACCTCGAGCCAGGCAAACAAGCGACCCGCACACAGACACACACCTTCGAGCTTAAACTGATAAGTGGATTCCCACCGATACACACAAAATCATCTGAATGGGGGTTTTTTTTTAGCCCACAAACACACAAAGAGAGGAATCAACACACCATGCACAGACACACAAATAAAAATGTATGATTTGCACAAGGACACACCTGAACACTTTCCATAGAAAAACTACCAAGTTAAAACCCTGTGTATAAGACTACACACTTTTCCAAAACATGTACGCAACACTATTACACAAAATGCACACAGACACACACACTTTCGAGCTTAAAGTTATAAGTGGATTCACACAGATTCAACAATACACACAAAATAAACTGAATGGGATTTTTTTTTTAAACCCACAAACAAAAACAACAACACACACGGAAAAGAGGATTCAACACAAACGCACAATGCACAGACACACAAATAAGGAGCAACAGCTGCATGACAGCCTGAAAAGATTTTACAGACACACACGTTAAAAGCCTTTGCATAAAAATAAACACACTTTTTTAAAACATGTACACAAAACACAAACTGACACACAACTCTGAGGTCAGACTGATGAGTGGTTTCACATGATGCACAAACACACACAGAACCAATAAAACTGAAAAATAACACAATTTAACAAAACACACACACAAATTAGATGCTTCAACACATAAAACACACAATTCAAAGACTCACAACACAAACATTTAACCCAGCTCTGAGAGAACAAATACACAAGATCAGCGTAAAGAGATGCCTGAACACTTTATACAAACAGAACTACACACAATTGCACAATGGCAAACAAATACACGATGATACACACTTTCCTTTAACATGCACACAACTCAGTTATACAACACACACACACAAAAGCCACAGGAAGGCCACATCAACACTAAACACACTATTCGTAGACTCACACACACAGACACAGACACAAACACACAGTAACAAACGTCTGTCATAAGTATATACAACTGTCATTCATAAGCACACAATACAGCTACACAAAAACAAACGATCACAAAAAGCCGTACATGAACACACAACCTGCATACACACACCCAAACGATGGAAATCACAATTCAAACACACACACACAGACCTGTAATTACACCACGTCACACACCCATTCAGTCCCACGAGCACACACACACACTAACACACACTGACACACAATCACGCTAATACACACTTTAAAATGCACCAACACACAAATGACTGCGCTTGTATAAACTCACACTAATGACACACAAACACACTAAATAACTCCCCTCTCCGTTTGTCTGAACGCGCACACAGACACACAAATGAAAAGTAATAACTAAGTGCGCGGCCCACGTGTGCTGAGTGTGTCTTTGTTTGTGCGTTTGATTGTCAGATAAAATAACCCACAAAACAGGTTTAACCTCACAAAAACGGATAGCGTTTGCTTGGCGGTGTGTTCATTATAAAATCAATACTCAACTGGAGCAGCAGGGCGGGCACACACACACACACACACACGTGCACGTGCACACGCACGCTGGGCAGAGCAGACGTTTTCTGTGTTTGAACAGCAGCTATTTGCCTTAATGTCCATAAATCTGATCACGGGCTCTCTCACTCACACACACACACACACACCCCGGTGGACGTCAGGCCTCCGTTGGGGGGGCAGTGACGCACACAGGGCCACAGATAAGCCGACCAGCCGCGGATAAGACGCCTGTGAGCGCCGTTTCCTCGCGTCTGAGCTGAAAGTCTGAGTCCACAGTTTCCAGGCCGCTCAGACCCAGATTACAGCCCGGAAATAACCCGCCCAGGCACCGCAGACTCACACAGACTCACACAGGCCAGCCAGGGATGCAATTTGTGCTTTTTACAGCAGAACCTCTACCTATGATCGCCTAAACATACGAACTTTCCAACATACGAAGTGAGATTCGATCAAATATTCGACTCGACACCCGCAGTAAATTAAAGTAAAACGATGTCAAAGTCATACAAAAGTATCTATAAAGATGCTGTCATTTATGTACATGCCTCCAATTTTGATTTTGTCTTGTTTTCTGTATCAGTGCTGTATAAGTTTTGTCCTCTTATTGTTCTTTCTGTTTTTGTATAAATGTTCAAAAATACCTAATAAACATAATTCATAAAAATAAAAAATGATATATCAGTGGACAAATATAACATTCAATTTAAGTTATCTTTTTTTTCCTGTCATGGTGGCCCTGACACCGGCCGCTGATGGCTGAACCGGAGGGGAGCAGGAGTCTGTCCCGGGGTCCGGCTGCCGCTCCCCCTCTGGCAGATGGAGCTGCACAGCCTGAGTGTTGTTGTCAACACGCACATTTTGTGTGTTGATAACCGCTTCTCCTCCCACTCCCCTGCTGCTCGGGTCGGCACGCCGCCGCCGCCATGCGCCGTCCTCCACGCCCGTTTGCTTCTCGTTTTCCACGTCGGAGCTTCAGAAACCAGAAGCCAAGCCACAAACACAGCAGCAAAAGAGAGGAGATCCATCAGAAAGGGGGTTCCAGCCAGGGCTGTGTCCAGGTTTCTGTCCTGGGGGGCCACAGGCTGTTGAGGGGGGGCTTTTCTGCCTTTCTGTGGAGGACGCTAGAGACCTGGAGTCCAGATGGAGTCAGATACCGGGTCCTAAAGGCTCATTCTGGGTCCTACAGGTTCATTCTGGGTCCTACACTCATTCTAGAGCCAACAAAATCTTTAAATACCCACAATTGAATCATTTGAGATGTTTGAAAACGGTCAAAAAAGCTGGAATTTCTCCACATAAAGTCTCAAAAAAAAGGTGAAATTCTCCTGTGTTCCCACTGAAGGAAACATCTGGATTAACTACAGAAAATGAATCACAATCAGCACCACTGGAACTGGGCATCGATGGCCACTGCACAATCACATTTCTTCCCAACTTTTTAAGTAGTTTGAGACATTTGTGACATTTGTACTAAACCAAAATGACAACAATAAGCGACAGAGACCTTCCTTTGAGATTTTAATCATTAATGTGAAGGCTTTGTTTTTGTTTAATTGTGTTAGGCGTTATGTAATTACTATTATTTTGTGAAAAATTAGATACTATCAAAATCCAGACAGCTCTTATGATATTTTCTAAGGGTTTTTAGAGCATCTCAGTGTGATATTTTTGCTTGATTTCATTCCACACATCAGAGAGAGAGAGGCTCACTGTGTCTGTAAGAGATGATAACCTAAAATCAGTGCATTAAAGGGGCTTAATTCCAGGTTCTAATGGATTTCCCGACTCGGACCGGGAAAGGCCGGCATGTTAGCAGCTAATCTGTCCTCAGCTTTCCTCAGACAGCCTGTTCTGTTTTAGACTTTGAAACTAAGCCTCCAGGCTCCTCACTGCAGCTACACACACACACACATAAAAACATCTGACAGCAACACACTTTTTAAACAACACCACAAATGAAGGCAGCATGGAACCAGAAAACCAGTTTCTTAGCTAAAATGAAAGTTCTTGCAGCACTCTAATGAAAATCTGAGGCAAATGCATAGAATAAAAACACCTTTCAGACCAGAGAACATGGACAGGGTGGATACATGACTTATTATTTATTAGGCTGCAATGATTCCTGTTCATTCCTGTTCCTCTGACAGCTTCCTCCACGTTGGAGCCCATAAGGAGCTGTTCAGAAAAGCAGCCGTGAGCAACAGGTGAGCTGCTGTGAGAGCTGATTGGTGTTATGCAACAGGATTACTCACAGCCAGCTCCAACACGTCAGCGCCCAACTCCGACTACAACACACACCGGTTCAGCTCACGTAGAAAAAAAAGGATTCTCACAACATTCACACGTTCGTTTCCATCCGTAATGAGTTGGAAAACGCATGACAGAGCAAAAGCTAAACTCCTTAGCCGGTGATTTTAATCCTTCCCCTCATCCCATTAACTTGAGCCTATTTAGCCGAGGTGGGGTATCAGGTTCCTGCTTGGAAAAAATACTGCAGACCATTTAACCACCAGACAGTTTATACGTACACCAATTGACAATAAGCAGTCATTTTAAATTTATCGGCATAATTATTCCACTTGATTATGGCCATAAA